TACAATGATCGTTTTGGCCAAAATGCAAGAAACCGCCACTGAGAAGATAATGCCAAAAGCGGTTTGGCGAAGGAGACACCTCACCTTCTCCGGCTGACCAATGAAAAGCAAAGAGCAAAGGAAGGAGAACAGGAGGGAAATGATCAGAACATAGGTGAGGTTCCGATTGTTGGCCTTGACGATGGGGGTTTCCTTGTACTTAAGGAAGATCCAAAGCACTAGACCCGTGGTGCAAGAAAAGAAAAGAGCAAGAGTGGTCAGGCTGATCCCCAAAGGTTCTGTATAGCTCAGAAAAATTACATCTTTGGGAATGCAGTGATCCTGCTCTTTGTTTGGGTAGTGATCTTCTGGACATGGGGTGCAGGCATCCATGTCTGAAAAAAGAAAAGCACAATTTCTCTGTACAGAGGTTTTCCATATATTGCATCCAGATCACCAATATTCCAGCGATACCTTATCTCACGCAAGTAGCTCCAAGCCAGGTTGCAATGTTTTACAAGCACAAACATTCATAGATGAGAACATTATAGAGCTGGTGGATGGCCTACAACAAAAATAAAGCTGACCTAGCTCAGTACAGATGTCCCATTCTTAGGAACTAGTATTTACCTGTACATTGTTTTGGAAAGATAAAGAAAATGTACATCCAATGAGTTCTTCCTCTTCCACTGAGCATACAGCTTTGGGAGGAATAACATGGAGTGGGAAAGGTCACATCCCCTTTGCTGCTCAGATCAGCCAATCAATGGGGTGACAGATGTGGCAGTCAAATTGTCCTCAAGTCCCCATGCAATGAGTCCTAAACCAAACACAAAGTGATGCAATGAAACTCAAAATACTGTCTCTTACCCATGTGCTCTGAGACCTCCCCAGCTGGGCAAGGAAAGCAATCATAGCAGCAAAAGGGTTTTCCTTCCTTCTTCGTCTGCCTGTGACCCAAATGACAAAGGTCATTACACAAGGAAGAGGGTGGTTCCTGTGTGCAAATAACATTGACAGGAAAAGTAGAGTTGGGAGTCATCAGCCAAGGGGAGAAAAAGGGAATCAAAATCCAAAGAACGCCTATTATTGCTGTATCAATTGCAGAGAAAGAACACCAAACAGACATAAAAGTGACCTCCAGACGATCCCTTCCCTAATTGGTTCGAAAGATGGGTATGATGGATAACTAGGTTTTGTATGCCATAGTGTGATCCTTTGGTGGTTTAATCAGGAGAAGGGGAAGGAAGGAAAGGGGAAGAAGATGATGACATCTTACCAGCTTGTTTTAAGGGTCACCTTCCTTGAACTCATTTTCCCCCATATAATCATCAGAAATAATCACCAGATGAAGGGAAGAGATTAAGAAATGAACTTGGAAGCAACCAGAAATGCACTCAAACAAGGGGAAGGGGAGATTGCATTTATCTCAAGGGCTGAGCTTTGGAACAGTGCAGATTGTGTAGAAAGTGAACCTGATCTGAAAGGCCAACAGACTTATTTCATGTCCAAATCTTAAACTGGTTCTTGAAAAATCTTCAAATGATTAGATGCACCCCATCCTCTGTATCTACTGTACCTTATCATATGGCCTGGGCCACACAATGGCATCCACAGAAATGGAGAAGGCTTTGTCTTTTGGAGCAAGGGGATCAATGTTTCCCACCTTGACTCGAAGAAAGGTTTGATTTGGGAATGTCACCCAATTGATAATATCAAACCCAGCGTTCAGTTCCCTGTTTTCATCAAAAGAAACTGTTTCCCCAAGACTATTGTTAAATGAGAGGCTTCTCAAATAATGGTGGAGCTTTTGGAAGAAAGAGTTAAAGAAGAAAGAACAAAAGGAAAAGGAGAGTGAATAAATGATATATTTCCAATAGAAAGATTGTTTTATAGTCATAGTAAAACCCATTAATTTAATTGATATTGTGTTATTTTTTCTTGATCTAATTCATATACAAACATTTTTTTCTAAATCTGCCCACTGGTACATTATTCCAAAAAAGGGGGGGAAAAACCTAGGAAAATGATAGAAATAGAATCTTTCAGTCATGATGCATCACACTTTTATCATTATGATTGCAACTGATACCATTCCACCAGGAATAAAATACTGATGGTAGAAATTAGGATGGATGGAAAAGAAAGAACACTTGTTCATCAAGGAAAAAAATTTGTCTCCTCTTCACATTGGGAAGAACTTTCCTCAACTTTGGATGTTATGTTCCTCAACTCAGAATGTGAACTTCCTGCTTCCTTTTCCTTTTGCATCAGTCAATGCAGGGAGAAAGTGGCAAAAACAGTTGTTAATAAAGTTCGTGTTTGTACCCCATTTCTTTATAAGAAAATAAGTTACATTTTATTAAGGAATTCATATCATTTTCTTTTCACCTTCAAATTACACCTTCAAAACGAAAAGCCTCTGCCCCAAATGTATCACAGGAAAAGCTTTCTGTGCTGAGTGGAGACACTTGAAGTGATTTGGAGTTCTAATCAGCTCTTCTGAATTACTCCATTCAGGACATTACCTGCCATAGCTGTTTACTGATGCTCTTCCTTCTCTTTCTCTCTGCTATCATTCTGGGTTTGAACTGGGATGAATCCATGGATTGCAAAGCATGGGCCATTGTGTAAACTGCACTGTAGAGGCTGTAGCTGTGACTAGTCATCGTGGTTTCAAAAACTGACCCAGGCAGGTCTTCCATCTTCTCCTCTCCAGTACAGACATTTTCACTGATTTTCTCCCCGGCTGGAGGAGCCAAGTGACAATTAAAGGCCTGTTGCCAAAAGTCCTTGAGGAAGCCATCTCCATTTTCCACATTTGGGTTTCTTCTTTTAAGAAAGGTTTGAAATCCCATTACCTCAGTTGAGTGAAGGGCAATCAACAGAGCACCGTGGATAATATCGACCTCAAAGGATTTGAGAAAGGGAACTGATGTGAATTCCATCTGGGCTGTCATAATCCAGACTTTACTTTTGGTCTTGATTGGTATATTCTCAAATTCTGAAACACGAGGGAAGATTATCAAAAAGATCATAGTTTGAATTTCTCCATGTAAGAGCACAACGTTGGCTGAGCTATCGCTAATTTTCTTGTATGTTTTGATCCATTCATCTACCATTTCACCAATATCAGAAAGAAAATACAGTGGAGGCAAAGTTTCTATAAAATCAAAGCAGATTCCTCTTTTAGAAAATTTGGGTAGCACCACTTGTACAAAATTCAATCCAGTGTCATTATCCATAAAAATAACTCCAATCCATGTCCACCTGAAAAGAAGCAGCAGCTGTAGGATCCCCGAATATTGATGCTCCCCACTAGGGAACATCCTTTGGAAAAAAATACTTTGGGTCTGTTCATTTATTACTGGAGCAGAACCATAAGTGAACTGTAAGGAAAAGATATATAACAAGGAAAAAGAGAAGATCCAGTTCCCAATATCTGCTTAAATCAGAAGAAATATAATATCCAAATCACAGGAAAGAAATGGTTTTACTTTGTTCAATCCACCTCTACTTCGAGTTCTGTGTCCAGGTCTGGACATCAAATTTTAAATGTAATTAAAAGATTAGTTTCAAAGAGGGGCAAAGATGAGATCTAGTTCCTGATCAAGGAACTAGAAATCAAATACTATGAAGGAGATGGAAGCAACCAGGAATGAACAATCCTGGAAAAAGAGGATTGAGGGGGGACTAGGTAGCAGTCCTTAAAGATGTGAAATGATGTCCCAGAGTTCAGAGTCAGGACTTGTATATAGAACTCTGATTAATAATTTCATGTTACAGGAAGACAGATTCTAACTGAAGACTAGTAATGGTAAGAGCAGTTGAACCCTGGAACCAAGAGAAAGCATGGAATCATCTGTTGAAGTTCCTATAATATGGATTCGTGGACTGACCCGAGGAGAGGAGACAACAACATAAATTGGACATCCGACTTTATGTTTCTGTGAGTTTGCCTGCTTTTTAAATGTCATTCCATCTAGGTAAAGGGAGGTTCTGTGAATTCATTATGTCAAGAAAACAAGTATGCATTAGTGTGCAGTGTGTCTAGTATGTTTTTATGTGTATTCTATGTCAGGATTTGTACTTTAAGCCCCAAAGGAGTACTGCATCTTTTCACTATTGAAGTTTGGCCTGCACAGTTTGGACCTTGAAATTTCAGGGAGTATTCTATGTCAGGATTTGTACTTTAAGCCCCAAAGGAGTACTGCATCTTTTCACTATTGAAGTTTGGCCTGCACAGTTTGGACCTTGAAATTTCAGGGAACGTACCTGCACAACCCAATGAAGATCAAGATCTTCAAAAGTGTATGTTGTATCTCATGTAGAAATAGAAAAGATGGCCATCTGACCTCACCATACAACAGGCAGCTGCAACCTCACTTTCATTTTATTACCAAAAGATGACCTCACTGTTCA